CCACTCGCATACACGTGTCCTTTCCTCGTTGTAGGAAAAAGGACGTGTGGGTACGGGAGGTACGGGAGGCTGACGCCCGATCGGAGGGTACTTGTYAGTCCACATATCAATCACGAAGAGGAAAGAGTCCTCAATCAATCCTTTTTATCCAAGAAGGAGGAAAAACACTCGTCAATTTAATCATGCATGCAACTGACGGACCGATCCGTGGCTCAAGTTTAATTAGCCAGCGCGATGTTGATCCCTGACGTCTTGTTTCTCAAGGCCACCTCGTGGTTCGGCTACTGATGCCGGACAGCATAATGCAGATGGCATGCGCCATGCACTCAAAGCTACAAATCTAAACAATCTTGCATTCTCGAACAAAATCCCGACGACAATCGTCTAATCAACCCGAAAAGAGTCACACGTCTCCATGCATGCATTCACTGTGGAAGGTGCAAAAAATGAGACATGCACAGGAAAGGATGGATCGCATTGCACAGTACACACGCATCCACCGTTCACAAGACAAGAAGACAGGGTCCTTGCATAGGAGGATAACCCACAAAACTAATGGAAGAGTTCCGGAAGAAGTTCTTTTACATAGAAACAGGATGCCGACTCATTCCCATTCAACAGAGGGACAATCAGTCAGACACATCATCGTTCAAAAAAAAGAGAGAGAGAGAGAGAGAGAGAGAGAGAGAGAGAGAGAGAGAGAGAGAGAGAGAGAGAGTCGAGGGAAACAAAATCAAAATAGGAGATGACAAGGTCCGGAAAGAGAAAAGTTTGGCGTCGCCGCCGTACACTCACGCCAAAGATAACAATCCGTAACAAAGGCGCATTCGCCAATTCCAATATGGCCCCGAGCCAATCACTCTACTCTGATCATCGATTCTCATACCCGCACCAACGATCCCGGCCGTCGCGTGCTCACTCCCACCACTGCGATCATCACCTCACTGTCGTAAACTCGACACGGTCCGCCCCGATCACACAGTCCGTCGTGGCGATCCAGCGCGCAACCGGCCAGCCTATCGTCAGCCCGACAGGACTGTATGACTCGCTTCAAACACTCTGCCTAGCCACTGCTTCCCGGAAGCTGGCTTAAGAGTCGAGAACGTAAGAGAGATTTGCGGACGCGCTTGCGGGTTTTATAGTTGCGACAGGGGAGATAGAAGGGGGAGAAGGCGACGGGAAGGCTGAGGTGTAAGAGGAGAAGCAGGAGGAGA